TTTTTTTTAAATGTACATTGTCTTGTTCCAATGGCAAAGTATCTCACTTACCGCCTCAATTCAAGAAAAAAATGCTCCTATTTTAAGAAAAATTTATTTACTTAGATTTACATTTTTGCAGTGTAAAACAAGTGGTTTGTTGCTTATTAGCAACAACAGGCATCAAGGGGTTAAATAGAAATTATCTAAATTTTGGGGAAATATTGTCTGATAAACAGTACATTTATATAACATTTAAGCAAAAATGAGTTGACATTTAAATATGATTTCCCTACAACTTTAAAAAGAACCAGTTTTGTGTAATTCTGACACTCCTTCTTCCTCAGCAGTTCTGAATCATTACATAGGAACGGTGCCACCGTGTAATGCCGAAGTCCCTTGATTACCAATCCAGTATTATACATCAGTGCTGTGGCCTTTTCATTCTGGCATAAAACCAACTTCACTAAAATTTCATGATAATATAAAAAAAGTAATTGTGTGCTGCTGCTTTGGTGCGATCAGTAACAGAATTAGAAATGAACCTAAATCAGATTGTGGTTATGCAACAGGAAAACAGTTATAGGAATACCACCAAGTGCATCTCTAAAAAATGTTTATGTTTTTGGGCATGGCCTGAAACTGACAAGGCATGCAAAAAAGTTGATTTGTCTGTATTACTGAAAACAAACAATAAAACTCCTCTATGTACTCATTGGCAGTTGTTGCATATTGATAACAGATTTCTTCAGTTGATATAACTTGATATAACATGATATAACATTTGATTTAACATTTGACTTTATATAACATTTGTTAGCAAAGTCTTCAATAGGGGAGAATTAAGAGTAAAAGCTATAACTGATTTTCTCCTGCTAAGTTATGCTGATAACCAGCAGCTCTCATATAATCTGATATTGTTACTGCTGTAAAATATCCTGAAGACAAGCACAGGATATCCATTTTCCTTTAATCCATTCACAATTTATTCTGCTCTCTCTTTCAATCTCCCTTCCATTTATTATGCATTATTCGCCCTTTTTAAACTATTCTCTACTAACCGTCTTATCTAATTTGGTATTCGGATATGGTTAGAGCTGTTAGCTCAATTAATACAATGACATGCCCTCTGCAATACATGTTATATTGGGACACATACTCCTTCAAAGCTCTGCACACAGCATAAATCCATACCATAAAAAGATATTTTTTCCAGACTTTTTAAATGAATAACAGAGACAAAAGAAGGTTTTTATCTTCTACAGGACTGTGCTTTATTTTAGTCTAAGCAGAATATAATAACTAGAGAACTACGGTGTTCAGGATCACTATGGGAAATATCATCCCGAACCAGGGAAACGGGCCCCAGCCAGTGGTATTTAAATTACATTTCTGTTTAAAACAAAAAGCAAAAACAATAACTGAAACCTTTCAAGTCAAAGTAAAGACATGACTATTTTTTTTGTACGAAAAATTATGATGACAAAATTGTAAACATTAAATGAAAATTGAAATTACACAGTGAAGCTGGGAATGAAATGATTTATATTACAAAGAATACAAATGACTTATAATGAACACTTTACAGGTTCACATGAACAGTTGATTGAAGCAAACTACTCAGCTAACTGAGCTTGTTTACATTTTGGTCCTTGTAACCAATGGAAACAGAAGTGGATGACCACGTCCATATTTGTGTTAAAATGGGCTTGAGGTTAAAACAGTATCTGACTAAATGTTTGCTTTAAAGAGCTTTTGGCGTCCTCTGAATAAAGTGTCTGACCACTGTTCACAGGTAGTGTTGGGTTTAAGGCAAAATTCCCCAATCACTTCCAAACCAACATAACTGGAGCAAAACCGTATCACGTGATCTACTGTTGGCACAGTGTCCTTGGAGGATTGAGTCACATTAAGCAAAAAGCGGTGGTTGAAACACGCCTTAGGAAGGAACAGAAAATATTAAACTCAGGGACATGTCAATGGTGACAAATAACCCTGAAAAAATAAACACATAAAAAGTGTAGGTATACAGGACACCAACAGTGGTTAAAAGACATTAAGATATGACAGCATAGGTCCCAAAACCAATAGGATTGAAACATTTGGAATTTTTTTTGTCTTTCTGTTTTTCTTCAATTTTTTTTCTTAGCAGTCATACTGTGTTTGACTTGTAAAAACCAAAATGTCTCAAAAAAGATTTTTCTCCCCTTTTTAAGCAACCCCAAACCACTAGGACTCAGTTGTGCAATAACCTTTTTTTTCTTCGTTTTACTAAATCCATCAATCATCCTTTTACAATGCAGCTTGCTAATTCTTGTATTGATTTAAAAGCTGTTACAGAGAAAAATCTCTTTGAACTTGTCAATCCACAGGAGAATTCACACAGGGCTTTTGTGACAACAGAAATATAAAAACTCATCAAAGGATATCCTAATAAACTTGTAACAATGGGTTTGCCCAGCTTCAGCTGATGATATCATAAAAAAAAAACAGAAAAAAAAACATTAAGATGAGTATAAAATCATTGTATCTTATGTTTTTGATAAATTATTCCATAAGTCCCTTTTCTTAGTTTCACTGAAATATATTAACTATTCTTTTATTTTATTTTTTTATGTTTGAACATGATCTAATGTACAGCCTATAAAGAAAGATAAACAGAATTTAAAAATAAGCTATATTGTATGTACAGGTATAATGCAGCTGTCTGGTTAGAAGAGCAGTGAGACTGGATCAAGCAAGCACTGATTTCTGCGCTGGTTACTCTGTTGTCTGACCCTTCCTCCAGTGTCAGTCAGATCATGTATGTATTGTTTTAAACCTTGTGCATTAAATGCCTGAATCCAAAATGATTTATGTACATGCTAAATAAACTGTTACCTCGAGTCTCTTCTTTAAAAGGAAAAGCCTCTGTAACTGCTGCAAAATTCTAAAGTTTTCATTGTGATTTATTTTAAAATAAATGTCTAGCAGTAGTTAATGCTTTCTTCTCCTTTTGCCACTCTCTGTCAGGCATGGAACATTCAGACGAATGAACTCTACTTTCACTGCCATATCTGTTCATCAGCCCCAATTGAACTAATCCAATTACTGCATTGGCAATCTTTCTTCTGTCAGAAAAAAACATGACATGACGGTGTACATAGAATCTTAATTAATGGATCACTCTGGGGCCAGGGCTTAGGTCTGACACTAAGTCAAACAATTTCCAAGCCTTGGTCTGACATTTACGGTTATAGGATGCATGTTCACAGCCCAAACCTAAGGGGCTTAAGAGGACTTGAGCTCTCCTAAATCCCTGCACTGCTGTGGATACATTTTATATTGACATCATTGTCCCACAGAGTTGAGCTTCTCAATACAAGTCGCTATTGAGCCTTGCCCTTGTTAGTTTTTTAAATGCTATTTACATTAAGGAATACAGAAAAAAAGTCTTGATCTCTGCTTCTTGGTGTTCTTAAATGTTGCTACCCAAAATTGGAATCGATCACTGTGCATTCTGGCTAATATTAACATCAATGTCTTGGTAATCTTTTGCTCGACCTCTTCAGGATCAGGGGTAAGGCAAGGCTCTGAACCTCTCCACTAATCATGACATCTTAATGCCTGATGCCCTGAGCATTGGGAGCGATTTTGTGGAGTTTCAGTTTAGCACACAATACCCCCCACTTTCACCAATACTACTTAGTGCCCATTTCACCTATTCCTTTCCACCATCTTTTTCTATCCAAAATTCAATTTTCAGGGCAAAAACCTTTTTAGGGCCTAAATTAGTCGACGGGACGGCTCTCTCCCAAAGCAGCTATTAAATGAGAGGCATTAATTTCTTCCCTTCTGTCCAACAGATTCCTTTAATTATCTCTCTACTTTCAGTCAATTACATTTTGCTTCCTTTCCTTGACAATCACTGCTATTTCAGGGTGTTATGCACTCAGTGGGTTGGATATTCATACTCCGCTCTATTCCTCTAAGGATATATGCTACACTAAACAACAAGCTGTGTAAGTAATAATATGCATGCATGCTTTTTGTTTCCTGGCTGATACATCACTCATACATCTCATTATTTTAGAAACTAATTTTAAGTTCTTATCAAAAGACAACAAATCATATCTACAGAAATATTTCCTTGCACAGATGGAATGATGACACACTACAATGCCTTGAAAAAGCACTATAGCCCTTGAGCTTTTCTACATTTTGTTGTCAACAACTACAAACTTCAAAAATGTTTACTGGATTTCTTGGTGCTTGGTTTGAAATCTGAAAAGTGTGGAACAAATGCATTTAGCCCCATTTGAAAAAGATTCACCTAGGAATTAGTGCAACTAATTTCCTTAATAAACAATTAGTGAACTACTTAATAATTCGTAAACATGTGATTTAATCACAATAGAAATACAGCTGTTCTGTGAAGGCCTCAAAGGTTTGGTAGGGAATATGGGGGAGCAAACAAAATCACAAAGATCAAGAAACCCCAAATAAAGGGTCAAAAAAAATATTTGTGAATAAATTTAAAGCAGGGTTTGGTAACAAATCGATAGTTCATGCTATAATCATAGCACAAACACTGCTAAATTACTCATTTAGAAAATGGAAAGTGTATGAAAGACATTAAAATATTCTAAAATTATTACCTAAACTGACTGGTCTGAGAACATTCATTACAAAAAGGAAAACTATGGTTACTCTGATGTAACTACAGAGAGCCATGTACATAAAATAGTAGTTGTACATTTAACAAATCTCTCTAGAGAGATGGAGAAGTTGGGTCATTAAAAGGAAAAGGCCATTTGAAGAACAAAATTAAAGTTTACCACTTTTGTGAAGAGTAAACGGCCAACATCTGGAAGAAAATGTTTGGGTCAGATTAGGACAAAATGTCCTAATAAATATGCTGGGGTTCTTTAGGCCTGTTGGGACACCAATACCCTGAACATACTATACACTTCATGGATCATGGCGATGGAAGCATCATGTTGCAGAAGTGCTTCACTAAAGCAAATGAGGTTATGTTTCTGAGCTAATCAAAAGATGGATGCAACTAAAGTCAAGTCAATTCTGGAAAAAAAAAAAAAATTACAAAAGACTTGGGCAAAGGCTCCTCTTCCCACAATGGAATCAGCCAAGCGTAGCAGCCAGAGGTGCTAAATTAAGGTCCAGATGCAAATCCAGATAGGAAGATTGTAACACTTAAAGATCCATGTTTACAGATATTTTCGATCCAGGCTGTAAGAGCTTTAACCATTTTGCAAACAGTTCTTCTCTTTAAATGTGCAAAACATAACCTTTAATATATTTAAACTCAAACAGGACTGACTTAGGGGGGCTGAATACAGATGTATGCCACACACATAATAATAATGTGAGCATTTATGTTCATTTTACAACTTTGTACCTCAAATTAACCAGTAATATATATTGAAGTTTGTGTTTGTAACATAACATTTGAAATAGTTGAAGTTTGAAGTAAACCTTTATTCAGCATTGTGTTATTTTAACTGCCAGCCAGTTTTTACTTGTATTGTATATAAGCTGGGGTGTGCTTGCATTGTTGCCATTTCTTAGGGCCCACAGAAATAAATCTTGAAAGAATCTCAACCAGCAAAGTTTGACTATTAAAACAACCTTTTTGTCTGAGTTTGGCCATTCCAACTTAAGTGTGTCACTGTTTCAGCTTTTAATGCTTACACCTTAACATTATACTTCCCATGGTGTATAGGTAATCTGAACACCGTTGTTAAAGCTGCTGAAGTGCTGGTTTCACATTTCTCTAATTTAACTCTGGCATAGCAGGTACATGCTACATGTACATGGTACTATCAGCCAACCAAGACAGCAGGAGGCTAAGCTGGTCTGGAATTTGGCTCACTGGGGACTCAACCTGCTATTAGGAGAGGGAGCACTACAGCATCTGATTTAAGACAGAAAAGTTCATTGGAGCGTGCATGCAAGCTCTATGTTACTGAGTGCATTTTAGGGATTGCCAAGACAAGCATGGAACATTCAATTGCTCATTGAATATTACTCTGCCAATTGAGGGCTTCTGCTTCAAGTAGATAATAAACACAAACTGTTCGGAGGACAAAGCCTTTTCAACCCACTTCATGTACTCTTCAGAATTTATATCAAAAGTTAATGTGGGATAGAAGAAGAAATTGTACTTAATTCAGTTGAAAAATAAACATGTCATTTGTTGGACATCATTCGGAAAAGCTGTGCTTCTGCATATCTTGTTATAGCTGAGCAAAACTGTGCTTTGGAGATCCCTTAGCAAAAGTAGAAAGAGAAAAAAACAACTCTGAGCAAGTTTTTCTTGTAAATTGCTTGACCTCTGTTGCCAACTGCTGAGAAGCAATATTTTTGCGGATAAAAAAAAAAGAATTTCAATAACACAGGCCACGCAGCAGCTGCTGTAGAACAACTAGGCATTTCCCACAGAAATATAAGTTCTAAGCGTCTTTAAAACCAAGTGTTTTTTGCATCCTTTGTTGAGAAGGAAAATATTTTTTTGCTTTATGTTGCCCTTCTATTTTAGTTTTCTTTTAGAACTACTAATCTGCTCTTTGAGTTTAACACCAATATGGAATGTTTTGTTCTGCATCCCCCATCCGATGAGTAAATTTGGCTGTGTTAGCCGTGCCAGGTCAGCTGTCAGCAGCCTTGCCAAGAAGTATGCACAGACATAATTCTCCCTAATCTTCCTTCTGTCATCCATGTGCATGTTGGGAACCATCTCTCCCATCATTCAGTCCAAGTGATTATCCCTGTGATTTTTCACTTGGTTGCTGCTAATGTATAGAGGCTTATGATTACAGAGTGATTACAGAAAGGTGAAAAGCATTTTCTAATATAGTGCTAGATAATTGAAGGGTAGTGGGCCCAGGCATTAGTGGGGTTAGACATTTCTGTTCCTGGGGGAATGGTGGTGAATAGTTATTTCCTAGTTTTAAAAGGCATGGCTGGAATTCAAAAACTGAAAACGTAACTAAAAGATGAGATGATAATAAAGCTTGGATGAAGAATTTCAGAGCATTTAAATGACAGAAGGGGCTCATTAAAAAAGTGGTATATGCTTGTACATTTCATTGTTTGACCCCTTCTCTTCGTTTGACTAAAATCTGTCCTGTAACTAAAAAAGGAAAAGGCAAGTAGAACAGTTTAAAAAGTAATAACGGACTATTTGGAATGGGGCCTAAAGAGCTCAAAGTTGGTCCAATTGAACTTCCAATTACTGGTTCTTTGGAAGCATATATCACAAATCCATAATATTTTTTCACCAAGGGCATGATTACTATTTCTAATTTTGTCAGCATCATGCTGCAACAGCCTTGAAGGATCATCAAAGAGGGATGTAAATGTGATAAGCTGTTGATTTCCTCTCTTCCTGCTTGACTCCTTCTTGCCTTGTCCTGCCTCTCAATGCCAGCTGTCGGTACTCAGAAGGGCTGGTATAAGGATGTGAACTGGTGTTCTGCAGAGCAAATTAGGAAGTGCTCATAGTGACTGAAAACAACCAGTACTCCTCCCTGACTCCAAACATATCGATTGGGCTTTACAGAAGAGTCCAAATGTACAGCTCAAAAACTGTCAAAAAAGGGTAAAAGGACTCTTAGTCAAAAAGTGACAGCACTGTAGTTCTTTGCTCTAAAAAGCTATAGATCATCTGAGTGAAGATGACAAGGAGCTACTACAGTTCTTAGTTTTAGCCTGTTAGGGGGGCAGCTTTTTTTTAAATAAGTTTCATGTATTACATAGGAGGAAAACAAATAGATGGGGGAACCAGTTTAGAGTAGATTTCTTTTTATAATTTAGGTGTAACAGAGTTTAATGAGCTTTTAAAAACTATACTCCTTTTCCATTTGTGTGTTTAGTTTGGGTTTTTGTATCTAATAAAAGACAAGATTTGATTTTTATCAGTATAAATAGAAGCGCCTCAAGCAGAGACGAACAGCCTTGGCTTGTCCTTCAGACATTGCTGTTTTGTTTTTTTACTTGGGGAGAGTACCACAAGAAGAGTTCATTACTAACCACAGTTCATTTTGCTGGCAGTTTCAGTAGCTGTTGCCTTACTCCTCCTCTTAAGCTTTTTCACTGTTTTGTTCATGGTCACCCGTCACCTTTTTATTCCTCTCGTTTCAACAATGTGTGGCTTCAAAATACATTATGATGCAATACAAAAGGTCAAGAGGAATGACGAGAAAGAAAGAAAAAAAAAACACGCCTTGTCCATTTGACTTGGTCTTTATGGTGGATTGTCGCTTGAACACAAAGGCTAGTGAGATTCCTTAAACATCTGCACACTGTCCTGCACAGACATTGGGGAGTTCAGTCTTTTATCTCTCTTGTTTTCCTTTTTCGTCAGCTAGATCTCTTCAGCTGTCAGAGAGTGCAATGCCTTAAACATCATGATGAGTGGGATATCCAGTGGCCGTTACCTTTACATCAAAGGAAGAAAAAAAAACAAGACACAACTCCCAAAAGCATGGATAAAGATTTTTGTACTCTCTCTTTCACCAACTTTTGATGACAAATTAAAATTCTTATTCAACAGCAAAATTTTGCAAATGTACTTTTTCTAGTCTACATCACTATTCTACCACCTTGTGCTAAATCAGCATCCAGAGCAAAAGATCGGCCCCTGTACTATGTTTCCATGTCTTTTTTTTTTTTTTTTTTTACATCATTTCCATCTTTGCTCTAACAGTAAGCCACTGGATATTGATTTAATGATCTTTTTTTTTGACTATGAGTAAATACTTGCAGCTACAAGGTATGCGTTTTTAAATATATATTTATATATTTATAATCTTTTAAAAAGCATTTAGTCCTTTGGTCCCTATTTCCTAAGGAATGATGCATGTAAATTATCCTGGATTTCCCCAATCTTCTCCTCTTCTTCATGTTTCTCCACTTTTGATGCAGAGCTTGCCCTGTCACAGAGCACAACACCTGTGTAGGCACAAAAACCAAAATGGCAGCAGGCTGGTGTGTATGTGTTTGTGTATTGGTGTGTGTATGTGTGTGCACATATGCATGAATTTGCTTCAGTTCTTGTGTTGGCATTTGCACGTATTTATACATGTACAGAGTCTTTTTTTTAAGTTTTCATTCATTAAGTGCAGCTTCTTTAATTTTTTGTATGTTTGGTTTATTTTTTTTTTATATCTTTAAGTGAGTTTATCTGTATCCTGTGTCAGTATGCATGCTTTGAGCATAATGAGTCTATAAAGTAGTTTTTTTGTTTTTTCTTTTTTTATCATGTCTAAAAAACAGCAGCAAAAAGTTGGTCTCTGCAAAAATCTTCTTCCACAGATGCCAAAGCAAATAGGGAAAAGAGAGGCATTTGCGAAGAAAGAAAAAAACTAAAATGATAATAAAAAATAACAACTCTGGGATCCTTCTTTCAGTCACCCAATCTTTCAGCGGCTTTCCAGGAGGATCAAGGGACCACCCTTTCTTCATGATATGTAGCAGAACGAGGAGTCTTTGTACTTTTACTGCACTTGTGGAAATAAGGTGTTGTGGCCCTTCATCCTGTGACATAGAGAGAGAAAAAGAGAAATAGACAGGGAAGAATAAGGTGAGTGGAATCAGGAAGGCTGCAGCAAACATGCTCAGGGTTGCTGGCTCCTGGTTATCACACAGACTGACAGGCACAGCCAACAGCGTGAGGAACAGACGGGAAGAAGAAGAAAAAAGAAACAAAGTGTGTCAATCACAGCCAGAAATAAGTGGGCTAAAGGTGGGGTGGGAGATCTGTGTTAAAACCATATGGAACAGACATCTACACTGTGACAGCACTAATCCAAGGAAGGCATGATTTAAACTGGCGGTATTTTGGTTAGAAAAGAGAAGCTGCCAGAGACATTAATGTGATTCATCTGTTTGTGAATTCTCTACAAATAAACTACAAAAGAGCATGAGAGATAAAAAGAAGAAAAAAAGCATTAAACAGCATTAAATTGTGTAATAATTACAGTGACAGAGACTAAATGGTTAGAAAAGACACAAGTCCACGTGTCATCAAATAGCCGCTAATTTGAAAACCCTACAAAATCCTTTTAGCATCCTCCTTATCTTAACATTAGTTTGAAACTGAGTGTGTTTTAGCTGTCAAGCTGAATATAAAAGAATACACTAACAGCACATCAATGTTAATATGTTGTGAACTGTGATGCAGTTTAAAGAAAGGAAGCAAAATAATACTGAATCACTCTTTGGGAACAAATATGACAGGATCTGACTTAGCGACAGGACCACTCTCCTGAGTGCTGTCCTTGTTCTACTCCCTTTCCATTTCTGTAAATGAGCTTGTTACCTTTTCATAACAGCTCTATTTTTTCAGACACAGGGCACAGATTTAGACTTGCTTGTTACAATCAACAAAACCAACATAGCCATTAGTCACATAAAGCACTAACAGTCCCCTCTTTTGCATGCTATATGGAACATTTTTCCACATTTATGCGACACGAAAATCAATACAGTTTCAAATTGATCTGTTTTACATAGAAAAAAAAGAAAAAAGAAAAAAGATATTGCTGAAATTCTTCAAACATCAAGGAACCGATCTTCAAAAGGTTTGTAGGTTGTACATAAAAACTGAAAACCTGATAGTGTGCACAAGGTGTATATACTAACCACCTACAAAAGGCATATTTTTTTGCAATTTTCTTCATGGATATGCAGAACATCTGCAGATGACCAAATCACGCAAATTATTGGGAAGAGAATATACAAATACCATTCCTTTCCACAGGCAGAGAGATTTCTCAAATCTGAAATGGATTGCGAGTAGAGATTTTGACTATATTTAGCATATTTGACAGTCAGCTGCAGAAAAATGTCTGCACTCATTTTATTCAGAAAGAAACTTGTGGGCAGAATGACAAACAATGCAAACAGTTTATGTAAAGGTGAACATATTTCGACAGTCAGTACTAACAACGGTAGAATGGAATTTGCAGGTGAAATTATGTCTGCATTGGATAAAGAAATGCTGTAGAAAACAAATAATCTGTATGCAACAAAACCAAATGGAAAACCACCATAAATTTATCTTTAATAACAAGTAAGCTAAATATTAACAGCCGTAAGACAAGAAGAAATTAAAGTGGAAAGAAGAATACAACAAATTTTTCAGGTGCATCTAAAAATATGCACTGCTGTCTTGTGAGAAAGGGAAGTGTTTTTATTACATTATTTCTCTACACATTCTCTACACATTTATATTGTAAATAACTATTATTTTATGCAATATTTTTAGCTCTTCCAGGTTTTATGACTGATATTTAATCTTTTTTACTGTAATGTTTATTAATCACTGTTATTGTTGTCATTATTATTTTTATTATAACCCAATGGCTGCCCTCCCGATTCCCTAGAGTTTGAGTATCACACATAGTTTACTTATTTAAATAAGGTGATCAAAGCCAATAATATAATAGCATATTTAGTTTTCATTTTTATTAATTTGTTTGTTTATATTTGTTTAACAAGCATTTTGTACTCCTTATTTCAAATCTTCAAAGACTGGACCCCAGTTGTATCAGTTCACATTTAGTTATTCTTTATAGACTTGCATAAAACAATTGCACAGTTAAAACACTAAATTCCTAATATTTTACCGACTACAAGTAGGTGAGTCATCTCAAGTTGTCTGCACCTCTTGTGAGAGAACAGGGTAAGGAACTTTTATGACTCCTTATAGGGTGGCCTTAAGGGAAAGACAAACTGACTTGCAAATAAGGACCTTTTTCTTTGGGAATCTGGTAACTGCCAATTTTGAAACGAAATCAAAACATGTGTTATACAGTATGAACAAGAGCAAATGAGAAATCATTTTTTGGGTGAAATCCTTAAAGGAATAGTACACCCAAAACATGATTAGCCTTCATTTTCTACTCACCCCCATGCTGAACAACACTCTGGAGTACTTTTTTGATATCTCAAATGCATCTGGAGATCTGGGAGGCTTCTTGCTGTCTGCTGACATTCAAATAATGGAGGTCTATGGTGCCCGAGGCAGAAAGGTCCATAAAAGTCCACAAAAAACGTGTCAATATTCCTCCATACTGCTCGTCCAATGTATTCCAAGTGTCCTGAGTGGGTAGCATCCAGAATTTACTCGAAACAAAGTCATTTAGAATGTTTTTAGAGCATAAACAGTAGTGTATAGGATTTCCTGAAAGCGCGCACATGCGCGATCACGACGCTACGGAAGCCGGCAGACCAAACCAGCGCATTCAGCTCGGCAAAGAACTTATGCTCTTCCTCAACACTGAAGTCCTCAGACATTTTTCTTTTGTTGTTTCTTTCTTTGCACAGGTAAACAGCACATTTCTTCTTCTACGCTTGCATTATCGGCAGAGCAGACGCTGAATGCGCACTTTCATCTGGTTTGGTCTGCCGGCTTCCGTAGCGTCGTGAACGCGCATGTGCGCGCTTTCAGGAAATCCTATACACTACTGTTTATGCTCTAAAAACATTCTAAATGACTTCGTTTAGAGTACATTATGGATGCTACCCACTCAGGACACTTGGAATACATTGGACGAGCAGTATGGAGGAATATTGACACGTTTTTTGTGGACTTTTATGGACCTTTCTGTCTCGGGCGCCATAGACCTCCATTATTTGAATGTCAGCAGACAGCAAGAAGCCTCCCAGATCTCCAGATGCATTTGAGATATCAAAAAAGTACTCCAGAGTGTTGTTCAGCATGGGGGTGAGTAGAAAATGAAGGCTAATCATGTTTTGGGTGTACTATTCCTTTAAACTGCAGTGCAAAATATGTTCACCCTATGACATTTTGTTTCATATAAGCACAAACTTGAACATATTTTACTTGTGTTTTAGGTGATAGGCAACACAAAGAAATACATTCTTTTGAAATGGAAGGTTAAAGACATATGTCATATATTTCAGTCCATAAGGTTTGGTTATTTAAATAATTTCTATGTTTTATATTTATGTTTCTATAGACTTTTGCTGTACACAGAGAACCTCTCTGCATTGATTATTGTTATTAGGATCTTGCCATATTGGTAATTACTTACTTTTTCTTGTTTTTGTGTATTTCAACTGATTATCCTAGATCAGTATTAACATTTTTTCCTTCTGGTTTATTTCTTCTGTTAAAGTGCAGCACCTTGTGTCTTAAAAATATATACCATTCAGTCTCAGTCCCTCTTCTCCAGCTTTTCCACATTCCCCTGATAATTCTCACCTGAATACAAACCAATACTGATTTTCCAAGATCATTGCCTGTTATTTTTGTTAGGGGGGCAGTGCTTCATGTTCTGTTCTCCTGGTGTTTATTCTGTAAGATTATCGGTTAACTCCTCATTAAATCTGAAGCGACGCTGAGCTCAATTTTTTTCAAAATGGGCCACCAGGGGGCGATTGAGTGACCTCAGAAAGTGTATTTATTTATTAATTTTATTATTTATTTAATTATTTATTATTTTAGTATTTAATATTATTTTTATTTATTTATTGCAACATAATAAATGTATTGTACAAATATTATACTGATATTATACAAAATTGATAACTTTATCCAGGTGATGCTGTAGGTTTAAGGACATCATCATGTCTCAGGAAATAAGTTTTCAGGTCTTAATAAAAAAGCTAAAAGGTCTTAGATATTAGAAAAAGGTTGTCAGGTCTTAGGAAAAAAAAAACTGTCAAGTCTCAGGAAAAGATTGTAGATGTAATGTTTTTAGGAATGAAAGTTGTCAGGTATCAAGATAAAGGTAGTCAGATCTTAGGAAAAAAGTTTTCAGGTATGAGGCCAAAAGTTGCCAGGTTTAAAGAAATAAGCTTTCAAGTCTAAAACATTTTGACGACACACATAGCCAAATATGTGGGAAGCCCATGGTTTGAATTCCTGCGAAACTTTGGCATTCCAGAGGAGTACCTCACACAATATAACTACTTTTTTTTCAATAGTGTACCATCAATCTTATTGTGTGAAACTTAGATCCTTGAAGGCTGTCCAGACTCTCTTGCTGGAGCAGGCAGCCACATAAAGAGAGTCAGCATGATCATGCACAGGACATGATTTAAGAAATGGATAAAATCCAATGTGTAGAGAATAATATAATGTAACTTCTACTTACACTTGAACAGTATTCTTTGCCTGCTTGTAAAGTCTGGTTCAAACTATGTTTTTATCTGTAAAATTTTGTCTGAAACTAATCATTACACCTAAATAACAAAAATAAACAAACCATTTGCAGCAAAGTTCAACGTGTTTTAGTCTGAGAAAATGGTGTTTGGTATTTTATCTCACTGTAGTGTTATCAAAAGTTGATTTAAAGTCATATTTTGGGATGATGCACAGGTTTTCCTACACGGCACACAAACCTGAACAAGAGCTGCTGGCATTTATAATTAATGCAACAGCACGGGTTGGGTGGGGATGGTGTGATTGCATCATAGCTTAATGCATCGGGTACAGACCGGGCTTAACAGTCAGCAAAGGTATTGAAAGAACTTTACACAGTGAAGTTCTAAAAGGACCGTGCTCCTTGTAGATGCCAGTTAAAAGAGGCTGGATAAAAAATGAAGGAACAGACGATAAATCATCATACAAAACGCAGCCAGCACCTTGCATAGGCGGCAAGTTAGTGCATAATGTGAACCTAATGTTTTAATTAAATGGGACAAAAATGAGCACGAAAAAATCTATAAGCAGCACAAAAAAAGTGGAAGAATCACTGCTCCTAGAAGTTCAAAAAGACTTGAAAGTTCTGCTGCCATGCGAACATGAGTATAAATCACCAGAAACAAAGATTCATTATAATGGCATTGTTTATATAAAAGCATAACTGTTAGTATAGGTCAAAGTCCAGACATGAATTTATTTAAAGTCAAGTATTTAATTTTGATGTTGATACACTGTTTCCATAGCATCTGCCACTGTCTTTAGTTGTGTTGTTGATCAAATAACCTTTATACCTTTCAGCTGTAATTGTAGGAACAGTGGTTGCACAGTATTGTTATAGGGAGAATGCATATAAAGGATCTGCTGGATACTCAAACACATTCTGGCAGTTTCATATCTTAATAGCTGATGAGGAAATTAAGAAAAAGGTCTTTCTTGTTAAATTAAATTCAGGGTTTTGAGGAAATATAAAATTGTGGATATGAATGCAAAGAGAAAAAGAAATAAAACATACAGTACATGTATACACACAAACCCCACAAGAGGACATCATACACAGTACAATGGCACAAAGAGTTAAAGGCCACTTCCAGTTATAATCAACAAACCAACCAGTCAGCATGTCATTTTACAAGTACCAGCCAAGAAATTAATTGACTACTGCACTCCACAAACTGCAAAAAATACAATATAAAGTATATATATAATATATATATGAAAGGAGGGCAGAATATAAAGAGCAAGAGTTGAGAGATATCAATCAACGCCACGTCATGCAACGCAGTCACAGTCCCACCACATGACGTCATCCAAAAGAAAATGACACCATGGGTTCAACTTACAGCTGTGGGAACTTTCCCCCATGACAGATGTTGGTGGGGTGTGTGGTTATAGCGCAGAAAGGCCACCTCACACTGTGATTAGCCATGTCAGGTTGCCAGGTTGGTGGGTGTGGAAAAGAAGAAAGAAACAGTGGGATTTTCTTTTCCTTGGTCAGATTTCATAGCACCCAGTTTATGTTTGGACTCCACAGTCTGACCTATTCTACCTACCAAAATAATTAAGTTTATTAGCGATATTACCAGTAGCTGTAAAATAAGGACGCTAATATAGAGGCCACAGATGAAATGTATGGCATGTCAAAAAGATCTTTATTTGTGCTTCTGTACGGTGATAAAACATTGCCAAGCTAAAGACTTAAGCAGGTTAAAGGTTGAATTTATAATTATATTCACAAAGATAACCCTTATGGCAAAAATGCATATTTCAGAAACTTCAGTAATAGGATTTGCTTTGCATTGTTTGCAGTTAGGGAAGTTATATTGAGAGTGCTTCAGTGCTTTTTTGCATTAAGTTTATCTTTAAGACACAGAGTGGAATTTTAGAGTAGTGAGGCTCCTAAGACCAAAAGAGGGGAATTCTTTCTGATCGTGTTTTTAATTCAACTTCAAAGTAACATTGTTAGAGTCAGAGAAAACAGCAGCCTCTGTACTTATCTACATATTGAAGTTTTGAATTATAAAGACAGAAAAGGGAAAATCATAACTGAAGTTTTATCAAAGTTTGTCATAACTAATGCAGTTAGTAAAATGCGAATAAATGAAACAGCTGAACTTTGTGCATTGCAGCTTGTATCTCTAGTACTTAAAATTAAAGAATTCAAAACCAAAACAAATTAGTTGTTGCTTGTCTGCTTTTTAATGTGAATCTCTATTAATCGGAATATTATAAATTAATGTGCGGCAAAACTCAGCTGGGAGAAAGAAACTAATAATATTTAGATTTATTGCATTCAGAGTGTATTCCTAGCCTTTTTTCATTTTATAAATGATTATTTTAATTTCAAGTTTCTCAGAAATTCTTAATGTATGAGACTGATAATAAAAATAAAATGAAAACATTAACCCTTTATTTTAATAGTGAAATATAGGAGAACAAAGACATATTTTGATGTACTGTATGGTATAGATGCATTTCAAAAGCATGAAGTAATGATGATTCTACCCGTCATATTGACTACTGAACCAAAGTCTAAAAGCTTAGCTCTCTGGGGCTTCCCCTATGACCAGAATGGATCATTCTCAAATAAATCCCAGTGTACTTAGACGCCACACAGAAGAAATCAGTGTTATTGAATGTGATCCATACAAAGTCCTTGCAGACTTTTTTCAACACCTTTCTTCTCTGGCAGGCTTCCATATTTTTCCTTTCACAGCTTTTACATGTATCTTATACACTACCCAACCCATCCCCATACTCCGGAGAAAGTTTAAAAGCTTTTAAAAGCACAGATTCCGATCAGTATTTCACAGCTGGCTGGTCTATTCACCCGGAAATATGGCATCTGAAGAAGAAAAATATAATCGGATGTAAAGCGAAGGTAATGCTATGTTCAGACTGCACACAGCAGAAGCAGCAAAAAGTGTGCTGCTTCATTTTTAAGCTTGTACAAGTTTAGTTCTGACGCACCGCTGATGCATCTTTGCTGCTCTAAAAAGTAGTTTTTATATTTTTTAAGAGAGAAAGTCCGCCTGAAAACTTCATCTGTGCAGTAAGTTCATCAAGACTACGATCCTGCCTTCAAATATTATTTCGCCGTCTGAACCACTCAGACCCCTGTACACCAGCGGTGCTCTGTCACTGGGAATCCCGTTCAACAGCAGCCTCTGTCCTGGTCGCCACTTTGCAGTTTTCCGCTACTGTTTGCGGGGGCTGAGAGGTGTTTTTCATGTAGCAAAAGTTACATTTCCAACTCCAATAACTGCTGCTTTTGAAGCGCGACAGATGCGCAGAAGCTCATTAGCTGCTTCAACTGCTCATGATGGGCTGCTTCAGCTGCTCAGATGCTCTGCCCCTGCTGCTCAAAACACATTACAGGACCTTTTGCTGTGCCCTGATGCGCCTCAACCATTGAATACGGACAGCATCTTTGATGCAGGTACTCAATATGGCCACGCCTAGATTCAAATGTCTGTGATGTCAGCTTTAAGGCATCTACATGACGCTAAGTCCAATGTCTCTCCTCTTCCTTCTTATCCAAAGCCCATAGAGAAGCTATGATATTTATCTCAGGAAAGATTGCTGACCAATCAGGTATAGTGATAACATGGTTGTTAGACTCTTGGTTGGTACTTTTTTCAGTGTGGGCAGTATTTTCTGCTGAAAATGAAATCAACATCTCTGTCTCACTTTTGATGTGATAAAAGCAATGGGAGGTCTAAAATGAATTGGTAGAAGGCTGTGCTGACTTTGGATTGGAGCAGATAAGATGTTTTTTAACCTTTCTAGTTTAGTACTAGTTTAGCTTATTTAGGCCATAACATACCATTACTTTATTTAAAAAAAAAATATTAGTCTTATATAGTATTCTATCTTTGGGAAATAGACTTTAAGGTTTTCATTATCTATATACCATACTTCTTAGAATTAACAGAATTGTTAAATATTAAATAAATATTTCTTCATACTAATGAACTTTACAAAGTTAATGAACTTTCAATAATAATTTACAGTACATTGAGATATACCTGTAAGAGCTATCTCATATCTATAAATATAAGAACTTGAACTGTGACGAAAAAAATCTGAATTCACCATTTCCCTTAGAATGCTACCAGGCTTGATTTTATCTTCAAAAACTCAAATAAAGAACTGGTCTAATAACATGAAGGAAACATAAATTGGCTAAAATAGACAAAAGAGGATGGGAAACCTACATAAACACCCCAACAAGCACAAAAACAAATCTCTAGATGAAATATAAGAATTTTGTCATGGAAAATGGATTTACTTTTAAAGTACATCATAATGACTGCTCTGTCATCCAACATAGTCGCATTAAATGTACTATTTGTCCCTGTCACTGTGATAAATAAAACTCTATCATTTTTCTCCTCTTTGTGTGTCAGCTTTGAAAGCTTCTCTGCAATTAGCAGGACATAACTCTATTCAAAAAGCAGTAAGGGAACTGATAGAAGGTGCATCTATCATTATTGCATATGCCATTTCGTTGCTTTTAAAGAGGTACATCTAAAACAAGAAAGTGGTATTATCATGCATTTATTTATGGGTGAACTAAATCCAGGCTTATGTTATTGTAATGAAACGTAGTCCTGCCAGTTGGACTTTGAGAACATGCATCTATATTACTTTTGCACTTGGCAGATGTGGGTTGTAAACAGATGGGCAATGATTATTTGAATCAGTTCTGACGCTTCGAAATTAGTCTCTTCAGGGATGCTGATGTTAAGAGCAATTCACATCTATATTGGTATGTTTGAACGTTCATATTTTTTAGGGTTAAAATATAAATAAATAAAGGTTTCTATTAGCAAGTACCAACAGATCACCCAGTGGCTAACTGCATTGTGTTTAGTGTCTGTGGTAATTAAGCTAGCACCAGGTACTGTTGTGCTTGAAAGAAAAAATGTGCTGCCAGTAAAATAAATCGAAATTGACACAATCAATAGTAAATAAAATAAAAAAAATGGAAATGATTACTTCTATTACGGTATATATATAATATATATTCTCTCTCACTCTGTAAATATATGTGTATATATATATATATATATATATATATATAACCCAGTCTGATGGAGTTCCTGAGGTAAAATTATGCCGCGCAAAACTTTTAGGCAGTCACTGACAATTTGTTAATTCGGTGTTCATTTGCAGTCTTATAATTTGTCTGGGACAATTTGTTTAAAAAAATTTTTTTTAAACAGAAATTCTAAATCATGCCCTGTGATAGATTGGCAAACTGTCCAGGTTGTACCCCGCCTCTCGCAGGTTGCTGGAGATAGGCACAAGCACTCCTCATGACCCGAGCAGGGATAGGCTTGATGAAAACTGGATGGAAATTTAAAATCAATATTTTCTTTTGCTAAAAAAGAAATATATATATCAATCTAACAAGGCGAGTATATATATATTTGTTCATATTGCTTAATATACGTTGCTCTTGACCAGAGGTCATGGATTAGCGGACCGGTGTCTGGATCCGGACCTAGCTGCTCGCTAATCCGGACCCAACCTGATTTCAAACATTTATAAATTACTGCATGTTGCAGTGTGTAATTTCACTTGTGCCGCGTCTCCTGTTTGTACGTTAAAGCCCTCCGGGACAAGGCTGCACGTGCTGCCAATTAGCCAATGAGCTGTGTCAGTCTGGGCTGCTGCTGCTACTTTTAGACACAGCAGCCAAACCTGTGGCAAGCCAGGCAATGGGAAAGAAGGAGAAGATGAGAAAAACTGAAAGAAAGTGTGGACTGCTGCAAGAACTGCGACGAACTGGTGAAAGAAAAGTGAAATGGCATGATCAAAGATGACCCTGCACATTTTGAGTATGTTTGGCTCAACCTACTGCTGTGAAGCAGGATTCTCCACCATGAACATATTCAAAAATAAATATCGATCCAGGCTCATAATGAGCACCTTGATGTGTGCTTGAGAAAGACTTTGTCACCATTCAAACCCAGGGTTAAAGTGTTTAAGGGCAGCTTATAGCCCAATTCTCTCATTAAGCCAGAAAAAAGAAAGAAGAAAAATAAATGGTCAGTTCAGGCGTTTATTTATATATGTGAATCAGGAAATTCTCTCTAAACCAAACTTAAAGATTGTTCTCTACTTAAAAAAGCACTTTAGATTTTAAAATGGAAAAATTTAATAAAATTTTTTATTTTTTTTTATTTAAAAAGTCAGTGCATAATATGGATGCATAAAAAAACATTTTTTTTCAGTGTTAAATTCTGTTTAAAGTAACAGATTACAATTAAAAATGTCTCCAGACCTTTACTGATTGTTGATTTTCTTTATTCGGACCCCGCTGATTTTTAATTGGTGAGCCCTGCTCTAGGCACTACAGAGTGCCAATTTATTAGGAAATATTTGCTGTTTTTTTCAATGCAGCAGAAAGACACCTTCCTCCCCTGCAACACCACCAATGGATCCAAAATTTCCCACAATGCCCTTTAAAAAGTTGAGTACATCGACGGTCACTAGACAGGCAGATATAACTTGGAATGCTTTGCAAGAGCTCTCCTCGCAAAACATCAATGAGATTTGTTTTGGGGGCAAGAGAGAACAAACATGGCTCAAGCACCATGCAAGAAGCCATAGTCACATGACCAATGGGGAGCTAAAAGTAGTGGTCATCTCTACAAACCGTAATTTAACTGAGTGGAATATAGTCCCTGCTCTATATGCTGATTGAAGAGTTAGGGCCAACATTTGGACACAGCCTTAGAAATTAGCCAGAAAAAAAAAAACGAACAAAAAAAACTGCCTGTGTTATCGTGCAAATAAGGTACTACAACAACCACTTAGTGTCATCTCGAAGAGAATTTATCCCATTCTGCCTCAAATTGCTACTCGTCGACTGAAGATAATGTCCATGTTGTTGTCAGATAGACACAGCACACTGAAGGTAGGTAATTCTTTGAGGGTGTGGGTAATGACAGCTCTACATAGATTGGTCATGCCCACTTGTTTCCCTGGACAGGGAGGGATCGATGCTCAGACAGAAGATTTCTTGAAGATTTTATAACGATTATGTAGACATCCATGAGTAAAGCAGAATATCACTTTAAGGATGATTTTGGTGAAGGAATAATGTAAACAGGGGTGCTGGCAGGAATTTGGGGCCTGTGAAAGACATTGTTATAACATCTAAAGCCACAGATGTTTTTTCAACACTGCCTTGTACACATTTTCTTGTTTTTTTTATTCTTTGTCACTATGTCAAGTGACGTGTGTCTGGCTCTAAAGTTCTGGTACTAGAAAAATGCTCGGGTCGGGTCTGAGGAAGAAACCATTTCTGGTCATTTCACAGGGTGTGCTGGTCAATATATTCATGCTTTGTTTTATCATTTACTGCTGAAAAAATAGTGAAACCACAAAGATAATTTATTTTGCTGTTGAACTTTTCATATTGGAAATACTTATATAGCGGAACATATTTTTTGGGCGCCCCCTCAGTCATGAGCCCTTGGAATCTTCCTAACTTTTCACACCCCCCCCCATACAGTGCCCCGTAATGTAATAACAGTTAAAAGCTCGAGAAAGTTTATTTTGCCTAATAAAGGCCCTTTACATTTATGAAGGTCAGCATTATCCAACAAAATTAGCCATTAATCGATGCAGTTAGTTAATTTTCTGTTGAGGATGTTTGTTCTTTATCTAATTATCTTTTATTAGACTGCTGCAGGCATTCTTTATTTAAATGTACCTTAAAGTTTATTTTAGTATCATAAATATAGATTAGCTGAGTACACTAAAAAATACAAAAATAAAATAGCATTTTATCATATAATCAACATCTTTAAAATCTGCATCCATTTGCTTGGTCAACTCAGTTAGAAACCAAAGACATTTTCAGTGTATACAAAGGTTAGCCTAAACACAACAACTCAAAACTACTAGTTTGTCGTCACAGTGTACACTTCAAATATGATAAAATTTAAAAAGTATTTTACCTTTTTAAATCTAATTAGCAACAATACAAGTGCCAAAGTCAAACATGGTAGTAATCTAATCCTGTGACTCCTTAGGTATGGGTTGTTGCTGTCTGTTCTCTCGTAGAAACAAAAAAATGGGTACACTACAACTGCAGCTGTGAATCAATATCTTGGTTTAATTGCTACTGATCATTCAGAGATTTTAAATGTCTAATGATAAGGTAGATGATTCAGAATAAAAAAAAATAAATACATGCTATTTTGATCATGACACTGTATTAATGAGATGTAAACTGCAAAATTCTAATATTGCCGGTTTACGTTTTACACAGTATTTAGCAGAAGAATAGAAATTAACAAATGTATTTATGTAATTCAATTAAGTTGACATGTTCACCCTTAGAAAAGTATTCATGAATATTTAAAAAGCTATATAGATTATAATTACTATACTTTTTGTTGTTGTTTTCGAATTAATATTGATATAATAATAAAAATATAGGTTAACTAATTTGGGGGCAAAATTATAGTTTAAAAATTGCTTAACATCATATAATGTTTATCTACTTTTGGTCAACTTATCTTGATCAGCAAACTAATTATGATCTTTCAAGGTCTGAGGTTCCTCTTTGCCACACCATATCTCCTAACGTAAAATCCATATGAGTGGAAAAAAAGCATTAACTCTGACATAAATGTTATGCCTGGCTCTTTGAAGGGAAAGAATTTTGCCATTAAATGTTACAACCTACAGCTAAATACTATAGATCTATTGCCTAAGCTTTACCAATTAGACAGATAACGATTCAGGCCTACAACTGTGTCTCCCCAGAGCCCCATCCAGGTCCAAATTAAATTTGAAAAATTAAACAAGATACTACATCTTTTTTTGTGAAAAAAACTAACTTGGAAAAAAGTCTCCACAGTGTTTTAGTGTAAATAGGCAATTAAATGGAGAATAACTGCATGCTACCTAAAATTAAACCAACTCATTTCAAATGTTATGACTGCTAATTCAGAACATAAAAACACTAGTTTAGATCTTAACCAAATACATAATTTTTGCAGTAGCTGATGATAAATACGCAAATTAATAAGTAGAGGACTTGACAAATCAATGACTGCATACATTTTCGGTAATTTAATATATTTTTAGTAATCCCCTTTTTTTAGCCTTCAACTATGAAGGCTAATTATTGCCATTTTTACTAAACTAAAACCTCCAAAATTGGCCTCCCTTGGAGAAGTTGCTATAAATGATGAAAGTAAGTACTCAAGTAAATAATTAGATAAAAGTTTGCTTAGAATATATAAAACCTAATACCACTGAAGCAAAACTGTCTAAAAACAAAAATGTACCCAATAATAATTGGTTATGATTTCACTTGAAAGACTGAATGCCAGCAGATTCACACAAGCTATTATTGGAGATCAATAAATTAATAAAATACTAACTTCATGTGATGCTTTTCACTGTTCAATGGTACATTTCATACACCACAAGTAGTACTTTACCTGTTAACGGACGGCAAACGAGTCAGTAAGGTCGGTTGGCATCCTTTGGCCGTTTTAGCTGCACCTTCAGCCTCTTCATGCCTATCTGGAAGCCGTTCATGGCCTGTATAGCGGCCTGAGCACTGGACGGGTTATCGAAACTCACAAAGCCTGAGGTAAAGCCATGGAGTTGAAAAGAGATTAGATGCAAAGGGGTTTTTTTGGGAGGGGGTGGCGGAAGAGGGAAAGATATGAAAACAAAAGACAAATTAGAGGAACAAAGCACAGAAAAAACCCTTTTAACTTTAAACAATAGCAGAACAAGAGGGTTTTGTTTTGTCTTTTTTAAAAGATTAATTTAAAGTATTTTAATAAAAAAAGATTGCATAAATCCCAAATACCAATATCATGGGTATTAGAAATCAAAGGAATAACAGTTATTTGTTACTTGTTTTAATTTGGAAAAGATAAAACTTTTAAAGAGTAGAGCCAACAAAAAAATTTCATGTCTAGCTGTGTATTTGTAGACAAAGTAGCTTCTATAACCTGACTGTTGGAGCCTTACAAGAATTGCATTTCTCTCTGAATATGTGTTTTTATTTTATGTGTGGAACTGAGCATCTATCTAAGTAAAGAGCAGAGGGCACAAGGTTGTGATGAGATGCTTGGAGCAAGGTGTGTAGGACGGAGGTGCCTGCTGCTTGCAGTTATCACTGAGGTGCTGAGGCAGAGTGAACCAACAGCTGCCCCCGCCGGGACTCCTTGCCTGCTCTTATCAGACACCTCTGTGATTGACGGCCAGAATTTTCCACCTGCCAGCTGATTTGATCACACTGCTATGGGTCCAATTTAATTTGGGGGAGAGGGCAGTCTTTTGTCAGTGTAGGTGAGATAAGGCTGCTGCTTTTACAAACCCTTTAAACAAACTGAACAGGAAAGGGTGTGTCAGTTGGTAGAGATCCCAGTCCTACACATGCACACACACGGATACACACACAATCCTCAAAATGTAATGAATATGCAGATTTTACTTTAACATCCTTTAGCAAAAATAATTATATAAGTCTGAAGGTCAAAAGGCAGGAAAATGTAATGCAATGTACATAAGATTAAATGTAATGTAAACAGTTTCAGTTGGCTTGTGGAATTTGCCGGGTACATTCTGTAAGAGGTAATTTTTGGGATGTTGTGAAGAACAAAAAATATCATGGCTTTAATAACGGTAAGTTTACCATGGCCTGCTTCAAATTAAACCTCCCAACCAATGACTTGGTTCCAGTATCCAACTGAGATATTAGTCTTGTAGTCCTGTCAACAATACATTTCTAAGAAAACAATTGTTATCCATGACTTGTTTTTTTTCTTTTTACATTTCCATATTATGCACCAATTAATGATTAACTTATTGAAGTTTTACATGACTCAATTGTGATTTTTTTTGTGTTCTATTTTGTTTTTTATTTCTCCAAAACTACAAGCATATTATTAAAAAGTTTAATCTTAACTGTCACAATAAAAACATATACTCACCTAAATATTTGCAAACTGATTCTGATGCTTTACATGTCTGGGGAATATATATATACCTGCACACTAAGTACATAGATCTTTTACTTTATCATATTTAGATTTTCTCTGTGCACACCCGTTCTCTGAAACTCCTTTCAGATAATTATCTCACATATCCTTGAAGTGTTTTTCACTTTTGCTAAAGAGAAATCAGATTTTTTCAGTAAAGATATAAGTAATACATAAGCTTTTTTTTACCGTAATATTTTTTTGAAATGGTGCTAAAATGCATACATAATAATTAGTGGTCCTATGTTGAAATATTCTCTTTTTAGATGTCAGATTTCTATGATATGAGGCAAACACTTTTACTATCTTATTTTTCACATTCAGTATATGTAATGAAGGACTCCTTTTTGTGTAACTTTCATTGTTTTACTCTTTTTTTAATGCAAAGCTTTTAACTTTACTAAAACATTTGGTTTAAAACAATATTTGCCAAGTTCATTGATTCCTAACAACTTTGAATAAGGTAAGTTTATTGTTCTTTTTTTTTCTTTTTGATGATAGGGCCCCAGAGCATTTTCTATTTAAGGGGAAAATAAACAAAATGAAAATTGAAGAACATAGTTTAAATAAATGCTATTTGTTATTTGCTTTTTAACAAATGGTTTGATTACTCTCTATATCTGCAGTGAGGAGGTCACTTTTTGACCCCATTCTTGTTGACTGATAAACAGTGAAAGTAGGCATATGTTCAGTGGAGAACACACACAGTGAATGAGAGAGAGCCTTTCCTGAGATGGACAGATGAGAAAGGTGAGAAGAAGAGGGAGAGAGTTTCAGATATGCCATGACGAAGAGAAACTGATAGAAAGCCAATGATGGGAAACGCTCTCTCTCCCCCTCTCTTTCACTCTGTCTGGCCGTCTCCTGGGTTGTGCTGTCCAACTGAATCAACAGCAAGCTCCCCACCAGTCTATTATTATCTCTTTAAGCCCAAGGATCCCACCTGTGCCACCTCCACCCTGATGAACTGGTGTAGTGAGTGGGAGAAAAAAAACAAGCAAGGGGGGGTCTGGGTTCTGTTGAGTCCTCTAGTTAGAGAGATTTGAATTTAGATTATTTTCTGTGATATGCCAACAACCATGTCAAATATATTGGACAAAAATGTTTCAGTTACTTTTTTTGTGGCTAGATCAATTGGGATCCAGAACCATAAATTGACACTTTTATTCTACTCATTAATTGCAGATCAACCACTTATCACAGAGGTCCGTTCCCGATGGTCATTTCTATGAGAGACAGGTAATTAAACAACTATGTAATAATTGCCCAAGTAGATATAATTATGTCCTACGTATCACTGCACATGGTATCCCGTTAACAAATATGCTGATTTAGATTAAGGCAGAATACAAGAGAATTGTCAACACAGACCTACTGGGATGTTTTCTTAATGGGCATGACAGCTGAGCAGCAAACGCTGCAGGCTTTTTACAAAGCAGTACCAAGGTATGGAAAGAAGGAGACATTCAAAAGCACTTTAGATAGCCTTGTGAATGAAGTATGTAGATAAAGTTGGTACAAGAAATTTAGGCACCATTTGTTTTGTTTTGTTTTTCTTTTGATTTTAAAGCAGACTTCTTTATGTTGTAGAACACCATTAGGAAGAGAAAGGCTTCCTCTCTGCTTAGTCTGCCAAACTACTAATCAGTTATACAGTAGAACCATCTAAATAAGCTTTGTAATGCAGAATCTTTAGTGAATATACTGTAAATTTTAATCATTTTTTATGGTGTGTGGATATGTGTCTTTCTGTTTGGCTAAATGGGAACTCTTGTCTTACTTCTCCAGCAATGTCAGGTCCATTTTTGTAAAGAAAAGACTGTTTCCAGGTCCTCATAAATTATTAGGCAAGGGGTTAGGTTAAGGGTTAAGGTGTGAATTGTGTTCAGTTTAGGGTTGAGGTATGGTATGCGCTGGCAATGTTTAGGCTTGGGTTATTGTCAGAATTAGAAAAAGTTGAAAATGGCTTAAAATCAATGGCAGTTAATGGTAATCAACACATGGTCTTCACTACGGTACATACAAAAAAAAAAGAAAGAAAGACACTAGTGTGTGTATATGTGCTAAAGCATGCATGCAGAGTTTGCTGTGGGCCACTTACATTGCATTTAGTGTATTACCTGATACAGATGGCCCACAGTATGTGTCCAATTCTTAGAATCACAGTATAATACCAGTGCAAAACAACGGTAACAGGTTTTGGTTTTGGAAAATCCAGATATGGGACTTTAAACAAATGCAGCACCACAAAACTACTTGGATTGTAACTATGCCTTTGGGCAATGGCACTTTTAGTTACTGAGAAGTTTTAAGGCACATGTTGAGTGTCTGGAAGAAGTAATGAAGGGAAAGCAACTTGAGCTGCTTAAAGGCTGTGACAGCGGTGAGCCAGATGCCATTCTACATGTTGTCTTTGATGTGACAGTTGTTGTTGAAGACACTTTTTTTTCACTAGGATTACAGATATTGCACCCTCATTGGCCAAGTTACGGGTGTCATCTACTGAATGAATTTATAATATCTAAATCTGATTAAGTATTTTAGTCACTTTAAAGAATATTGACTAAGATCAAAAGAGCCCTGATCACATGGACTGAGAAAGTCTAAAAGAGAAGAACCCTGAGGTTTAATTTAATCAACATTGTTCATGCAGACTTTGTTAATTCATTAATATAAATGTACTTCGAAATTTGGGTGTAATCATTTAATTAAACAGTTTTTAACTGCTAAAACACTATGAGAAATTTTTCTGTTATAGCTTATAATTTTATACATTTTCAAAAATAAATGTAATTTTTGTATTAGGAACATTAAATAAAAACAACAAATGCAGGGAACTGAGAAGCATGTGGACTTGCAGGTTGATTTTGAACAATATAAAAGAAATGCGAGGTATCATCAGAGAAAATTTTCTAAATCTAACCTTTCACAATGAGATATCATTAAAAAATTAGGATCAATACTTGTTTGCTATTTTTATATGATCACCACATCTTTTTGACTCACCAAAACATTTGCTCTGATTGGTGGCTCGGTCAACAAAGACTTTGGCAGAGATGACATTGCCAAAAGGAAGGAACATTTGCATGAGCTCGGCGTCTCCAAACTCCTGGGGCAGGTGGTAAATAAACAGGTTGCAACCTTCCGGCCCTGGTGATGAGAGAAACACAGCAGGACGGTTATATGGAAGCATAAACAGGAGATGCCCAGTGAAAGATTGACTTAGTCTAACACCAATGCCTGAAAAAAAAAATAATCCAGCAAAATTATCAAGAAAAAATTGCAATAATTTGTAAACTATTTTGTTACACCTCATAAAATGCAAAGATAAAACTTCTAGGCATTTGTCAGAGTAATGTTGAATGAAATGTAATATTTTTCTACACAACAAAGTTACAACAATAACCTGTGGCATTTCACTTAACTGTCTAAACAATTATATTTGGTTAGTTTATTAGAAGATTTGCCGGTAATAGTAAAACACAGTAAGCTTCTTGGTTAAAGTAGCGCTTTGTAAGTTTCGACTCAAGCATTCGCTTAATGTGAGATATATTAAATCCGTTTTCACGTCAACAAATGCAGTACTTGATCTGTGCAGAGGCCCTTTGACCCGCCTGAGCTCAACTTATGGTTAAGCTCAGGTGGTATATATATATATATATATATATATATATACACCATACCTGTACCATACCTATTGGTTTGAAGAGAGAAAAACCTGACTGAGACATTGCTGATGTAGAGGACCACCTGTTTGAACAAAAATAACATTTTGTCCAAACAGGTGACAAGTCGGAAAGAATTTGACAAAATTCAGTCAATTTAATTGTGTATTTGTGTATTTAATGTTATCCCCCTCCCTGATGTCATTTTCTTTTTCATATTTTTTGTTGAATAAGTTAAGATGCATGTTAACAATGAAGTTGGGAGGAAATTTGAATTCATTAATGATGTAATATTTTTAAAGAAATGAACACAATTTTTTGACACACTGTGGTTGACGGTGTAGACGGAAAAATAAGGAGAACAACAGAAAAAGCAAAAACACCAGATGTTGATTGAAAGGAAAAAGCTTAGACAGTTATTGGGAGAGTGAGGCACTGAGACACAGAGAAAGGAGGCAGAACACACATTAAGACATGAGCCAAGTTTTTGCTCCAATTACTGTGTGACAGTAGGCCTGTCTTCCAATCTCTCCCCATCCCTGCATACTCATCTACCCAGCTGCCACATTTGTGCTGGCCAATCTGGATAAAGGCAGGAATGAACTGGAGGGAAACAGAGAGAGGGAGAGAAAGATCACGAAAGCCAGCCATGGACACGGTGGAGGGGGAGGGCGGCAACTTGATGGACTCAGGGACAGTAAGCTCTGAGCTGGCTGGTTGTCTAAGTTTCTCTCCTGTCTCATTGCTCAGGGTGATAGCATGAAGAGATGAGACTGGGTCTGGTGAGAAAGCTGATAAGAGGGCTGCAGCGGTAGCTGGCTGTAGTGCCACTATGCCTCAGCATGATAAAGGACACACACACACACACGCACAGAAATACAGACAGAAAGAAGGGAGCAACTCATATACTTAGTTTTCTAATAGGTAGAAGGTGAAGTTCTTTTTATAATGGTTTAGGTTTATCATACTAGCTAAGTATAAAACACAACATGATTTGTTTAGAAAATCACAAGTCCCCTTTATGCCGTCCTTTCTCATAAATGGATGTAGTCTCGAAAGTTAGCTATCTTGTTCATTTATAGTTGTGGACCGAATAAAAAATGCATGAATGATTTTTTTTTTTTTTACTTGCCTAAGGTGTTAAGCTGTAATTAAGTTTTGTATGAGAAAGAATGAACAGATGAAACAAACGATGATGTATTGCATGCATTTACTTGCAGAGGCACAAAAACAGAAAATAGAAACATTTAGTCCAATAAAGGTCCAAATTCTCTTAAGGAAATAATATAATTATGAAGAAATATTTTTTGTATAAACTTTTAGTCTTTGATATATGTTCAAAAATATGTTTAGGCTTAATGGACTATATTTTCCATTTTAAACTTCCTCCAGTCAAAATATGTACCTTTTTTGAATATTTCAGCAAAATCTGACCCTTACTTTATTAGTTATTTTGAAAACAGACACACCAAAAGCGATGAAAACATAACCTGCTTGGCTGAGGTCAAAACCACAACAGTGGTTTCTATGGTTAAAGTTGCATTGTTTGTTTTAGAAGGATTTTCTTCGTTGAATCTTTCATAAATGCTGACTGACATGCTGCTGAAACTGTTTGCATTGAGGGAAAGATGGAAGCTGAGATTTGACTGTTTCTATGTAGGATCAGATGTACCTTGTTAAATGGCAGGGCAGAAGATATGGCAGTGGACTGAGACAGACTGGGACAGCATCCAAAACTCAGTGGAGGCTTGAACTCAGACAGGCTACTGGATAAGCCAAAATAGCTCGCTCTGTGTGGCCATGAGTGTAGCTGTGTCTCTGTTAGTAATAGTATGAAGTCTATTGTGTTGCAAAAGTATGAAACAGTGAAATACTTATGCAAAGCAATTAGATATTCCTGAAGAATGTGAATTATTTCCATATAAAATTACTGCAGCTAGCCAAGTGAGGCACTTTGTGTAAAACTTTTAACCTTGGATGCATTCTCAGTACTAACAACTTTTCCTTCAAGCAATCCTTAAAAATACTAAATTTCTATTCATGATGAATATTCATCTCACTCTATGCTGTCTCACTTAATCATACAGTTGAATAATTAAGACTGACGAATGCCGTCAGAAAGAATGATTTACCATCAAAGTATATTCTATGCTTTATTACATCTTATGCAATGGCATAAGACTGCATAGGAATAGTAACAAATGATTGTGCATGCAGCTAATTAATCTGATGAATATTTATAACCACTTAAACACATTGTAATGGACTGATTAAGCAGTCCAACACTGTGAGTTTGAATTAGTGCAGTTTTTGAATAATGACAGAGTAACTTTCCATCTCAGTGCTAATGTTCTTTTCTTTAAATGGGGAGCCTTTTTCTCACATTTTCCCTAACCAGATTCCCCCCTCCTTCACTAATTCAAAGCAGTGAAGCTACATTAGAATGGAACATGGCAATTATCACCTTTTATCTTGGGTGGGCGCGCTTGCTCGCTCTTACCTTCCCTCTGTTGCTGGGGAATGATGGTCGGTTGCTGGGGGAACGCTTGGCTGATTGGCGCATAGGCGGCAGGGTAGGCTGCTGTTGCAAAGGGAGAACCAGAGAGGAATTTTTCACATCTTCATTTTCATATTTGACACAACAAAACTCAAATCATTATTCCATTGTTCATTCGGGTCCTGAAGACATCGCATAAATAAATTGCATTATGACTGGAAGCCAGGGCTCATTTGTCTGGTGGATCACCACACATAAAGAGTGGTTAAGGGGGAGTGGGATGCAGTTCAACTAAGCGAAAATACAATAAAGGAAGTGGAATTACACTATTTTAATGCAAAATTATGACAAACATTTTTATTACACTTGGCATATTCACAATCTTAACCTAAAAGAGCAGTAGATGGTAATCTGTTAAACTTTGCCTGTCACAATGCCTACTATAATAGCCAAGCAAATAAATGCAGTGAATAGATTCAAAAAGACAAACAAAGGAAGAAAGCAGAGAGGGTAGGAGAGCTGGATCACCTGCGTAGTGCTGGACACCAGCATAAGCCTGTTGGAGAGGGTCGGTCACTGTCGGACTCTGTGCTGCAGAGAGATGAGGCATGAAACAGAGAACAAAGGGTGACTTCGAAGTACAAGAGTGAAAGAAAGTAGTGACAGTAAAAAAAAAACAGTCAGACACAGAGACAAAGAGATTGAATTAAAGAGCGGGACAGAAACTGGCCTAAACAGAGAGCCATTAGGAGGTGGGATTACACAGGAAGCGGGAGAAATTTGGGCTGTCATATCTTTCTTCAAAATGTTCTTCAAAATGCCTGCTTACTCCAAATGCTTGCATCAAATATTAACAGTGTGCCAAACAAACCACTTTGTAGTTCATTACGATTGCATCTGCCTTTGCATAATGCAAATGTGGGGAGCGAATGTCTGTCAGTTCTTCAGGAATCAGTCCCAGACAGCATTAAGAGGCCGAGGACAGTCTGAGACACATCGAATTAACCATAATTGACTGATGGATGAAGTGATGGATTCATCATGATACTGAGACAGGCTTCTAAGAAATATGCCAAATACACTGCTGACTGAGCTGTAAATGCTTTTGGTTCAATAAGAAAAAAAGTGGAATTAGACACTTTGAAACACTTACTCAAAGTAAAGTAATTAAACTTTCAGTTTATATATACATTTATATATATATATATATATATATATATATATATATATATATATATATATATATATATATATATATATATATATTTATATATATATATATATATACATATATATATATATATACAGTGTATATATATATATATATATATATATATATATATATATATACATAGAAGGAAGGAGGAAGGAAGGTAGGAAGGAAGGAAGGATTAGCTACAAATGATTCCTCACCTGGGTAAGGATGGATGCCATTAGTATAGATGGGCTCCGATGTTGGCTGGCCATTGCTTTGAGGTGGTAGGGCACTGAAACCGTTAACCCCAATAGGTGTGGCTATGCTTGGCACGGCTGTAGCAGAAATGCCTGGGGGTGTGCTGGTGCCTGCAAACAGATGTTGAGCTTACCAAGGCGAGTTGATTGCAACGAGTTGATTGATAAGGAATAATGCCAAACAAGAAGAGGCGTTTTAATTTCCTCCCTAAATATATGATATTGTTAACTGAAAAAGAAAATCACAAAACAGTAGCATAACTGTCCCATACCAAATTCAGGCTTTCTATAACACCCAAGTCACCTTTTGTTATATGGTCATAACTCTGGGTTCAAAAGATAATTAGTCTATAATTAGGCAATAAGTGCAATCAAACACAGAAAAACAAACCTTGGGATTAATGTTGGTCGACATATAAAAGTTCAATAATTTTGGCAGCATTTTCCAAAGTATGATGCTTTGTGTTTTTAAGACAAAGATTAAATTTATCAATCAAATATTATTAAAAGTATGTTTATATTGAAATTTCAACTCAAAATGCTAAAGTGAGGTGTTAATGAAAGCTATATACTTAAAAAAAAAAATCTTAAGCTTGTTGGCATTGTTGGTTCTAGTGACTCGTATGCCTATCTTAAGCCGGGCATACACTATACGATTATTTGCCCTTTTCGTGCTGATTGTCCAGTTGGCCAGAATTTTTTGATCGTGCTGAGTTTCAGCATCATCATGCGTCCTGCATCGTGTAGTATACAGAGGTAACGAGGATCGATTAGCCTCTCACGACCACCTACCGATCAGGAATCGGTAGGTGGTCAAAAATGTTTGAAATTCAGTTCGGCCATCGTGAGGTGTTTGCAGGCAAATCCTGCTGCTAAAGCAGAGCTATGAGCCGAAACACTAGAACCTCATGTACTGCGCATGTGCAAACAAGAGAGCTCTTCTTCTTCTTCCAGATTGACGAGTTCAACCACGGTTATCTCTCGGCGCTCAGTGCGATGTGTGGTTTTTGGTCGTGCAGTGTGAGCAGGTAGTTGCATCAGAGCGATCGGCAAGCACAGTGTGAGATCATGCATCGTGAGCTTTGAACTTTTAAACCCTGAGGTTTTGTCGTACAGTTTGAGCTGTAGTTGCGTGCAACGATTGAAAATATTGCACAGCATATGCCTGGCTTTAACAGGACAATTGTCTTAGGGCAAATAAGTTTTCAGCTAGTCGAACACACTAATATCATGGTTATCAAAGCATCAAAGTAGGTTTTGTTACTCTGTGATTCTGCAACATTGAGTTTGAAATACAATACAGATGTTTTTTCTTGTTTTTAACTATACTGAGGTCAGCTTGTTATAACATTGCCTGTGGTCCGACACTGCTTTGCCACAAGAAATACAACATGTGTAGCCAGTGTTCTGCATACATTTAAGTCCTATACGTCTTACAGACATTTAATCACCTTTTCCACCCTACTTTTTCCCTCCAATGAACTTCTTATTAATATGCTTGAATACATCCCTCTGAGAACAACCACGAAGAACAACAAAGAAAAAGCCCTTAAGTAATAAGTTAATGTGGTTGATGCTCTTGCAGTATAAGGTACCACCTGCTGAGCATTTGCTAAGTCAGCACTCTTCCTGGTGATTTTGAAGGATAAATATAGCAATAGCAACATTTCTCTAATAAAATGTTTTATTTAATAGTGTATGTAATATTGCTTGGAGTATTAATTTACTGTAATTGAGGCATAAATAGAATTAAACTCCCTGTATGTAATACATCTATACAATATGTTTGTGACATGAAGACATATTTTCACTCTCTAAGTTACATTAATAGATTAAGTTAAATTTTTCATTATAGTCTAATTTGCTTAAATGCACTTGCATGCTACACTAAATGCACAAAATGTATTTTACTTTGTTCCTCTAAGAATCAGAGTCTGTCACCTTGCCAGTGGCCTTTTGTAATGATGGAATTTTATTTTTTTTCTTATCTGAGTGAAGGACATTTAAGTCATGTAGGATTATCTTTGATAGGTATTAGCAAGAATATGTAGGCCTTGTGGATTACAAATGCCAGGTACAGCATCAAGCCACTTTATATAATACATTTGCAACAGCCTAGCCTTCAGGCATCCTGCCTACTTAGTGTCAAGCCTTCAAAGCTCCTTATGACAAGGGCCAAAAAGATAGTTCAGACTGGGGTCCAGTGTTATCTCACACAAATCTTTGCTATTATATTGTATAAGCCAAGGACTCTGCATCCCAAGTTATTGCATTGGCTGAGTTCCCAGAAAACACACATCAGAAAGACAGAGGGAGAATGTCACTTGCAGAGCAAGAAAGAAGAGATAATGTGTGAGCAGAAAGGAGGTAGGAACTATCATGTGCCTGCCAATGGTGTATGGATTTGCACTACATCTTCTATCACCAAGCCTCCCTCAGCACAAGCTTCTACTTTCTTTAATTTAACTTATGAGTTTTGGCTTTACAGTAAAACAGAGCTTAGATCTAAAAGCAAGTAAGTAAACTTTATTTTTATAGCATCTCTGAGATGTCAAAACAACAAAGTGATTTATAATAAAAACACATAAAATGGAGAACATTAACAATTAAACTTCTCCATCAATAAGTTTTTAGTTGTCTTTAAAAGGTTGAACGAATCAAGACAGTATAGAGATTGTGGCAACCCACCTTGCCAATGTTAAGGGCAAGGGATTTATATCATCTGCTCTTAAAAATCATTTGTGGAACCATTAACAGCCTTTGGCTGGTATACCTCTGATGTCTAGAACAGGTCTAGAGGATTAAAATAAAGAAAGGGTCTCTAAAAATAAAGATTTACAAATGCATTCAACAAGGTACTGTAGTAAGTGTAAAAGGACTTCTAGTCTCTGTATCTTTCTTGTGTTGCTTGGAAGCCTTGCAACAGCATTCTTAACTGACTATAGAAGGATGAGATATTTATTATTTATTGTTTAAACAAATAAAATGGCTTTTACTATGTTCAATACTAGATAAAAAAAAAAAGTATAATAGGCTTAACTGCAACTTTGACCAACTTTGGTTTGATTTATTTGTTTGCTAAAACACAAACAAACATGCAAACAAACAAAAAACAGTCCCTAATTTTCTATGAAAGATTGGCCCTCCAATGAGATAGAAGGATCTAAAAAATGACAATGTTATTAAGGTTTGGTTTGACAAAAGATACTTAAGATACTACAACACATTTAAATAAGGCATCATCTTGAAGTAAGAGTAGATATTAAAAAATCACCATCCTCAACATATGATAACACAGCAGAAAAGTTTCTAATTATTTGGTGTTGGGGGAAAATATGTAAAAGAAATAGAAATTCCCAACCACCCAGGCTCTTGGAATCTGACAAGCAGGAACTGATACATTGCTTAGGCAAGAAAAACAAATGTGCATACAATAAGTGATCTATAGAGCATGCATGACCAAAACATAAGATGTGCAAACCTGTTCAGCTCCGCCCCCTTTAAATTAGCATATTGCGTATGCTACTAGCACAAAATATGACTTATAGTGTACTTTGCAAAAGTATCTACAGTACTACAAACAAAATAAACTAACAAAAAAGAGGTAAATGAAAATGACAAATGTTTAATATAAAAAAAAATTTGAAATAAATCTTAAAATATTGCTCAACAAGATAGGGGCATAATAACCGAATAAAACGTTGCTATGCTTCTTGAGGAGCTAGTCAATTAACATTGAAGGAGAAAATAAGATCCCTTTCATGGTTTTTGGTTTGGAGAGTCCTTTGACATACTCTATAATTGTTGTTGTCAATTGGATGTTTTTCCTGTTTTAAAAATGCTGGAATATTTGGGTTCAATTATGATTTTCTTTTTTTTTTTTCAATTGCATATAGAATTGCTCCCCATTGTATTAATCTGTTCCAAGCTGTGCAGAGGTGTTTATTTTTTCTACCTATAAAATTCTCCTAATGTAGTTTCTGAGAGTCCACATATGTTTGCATGCACACAGACTCTCGATCACCTATCGTCGTATCATTGTACCAATGCCTTGTTGGGCCATAAAATGACCTCAGACATTTTTGCCTGTAGGATTGCTCCCTTACTTCAAACAGCATTTACATCATGTTCAGTTTTGATATATAATTTGGGGGGTATTGATCGTTTTATTAGAGTCTTAGTCAGTCACTTCATTTGGATGGGACTAAATTGATCTCAGATAATAAAGTAAAAAAATCTTGGTGTTACTTTTGATCAGGACCTGTCATTTAAATCCCATATCAAAGAATTTGGATTGAATTTAACTGAACTTGAATGTTTTTGTGTACTTTTTGAGTACAGATTTAAACTAATTCTATATTTCTGGATATTTCTGGGAACAGTTACGTGTATAAATTCTCAGTTATCTGGGTCAAGGAAACCACAAAAAAAGGCTTAAATTGGAAGGAAACTACACTTTTGCTCAGTAAATTTCTCCAAATCCATAACTCCAACTACAAATTGCTCTGGTGCGAGCCGACAGAATTGACAAAGAATCCTGGATAGGTGTTGAACCCTGTGGAAAAAAAACTAAACAAAAGTTTGGTTGCCTTTCAATTCAAGCCTGTTTTTCAGGGCCCGTTGGATCTTCAAATCATAGACAATAAAATGAGTTTTGTCATGAGATTTCTTGTGATTTGATGCTATATAAATAAACCAAATCCCAATTAATTGAATAGAAAGAAGCAACATAAAAAATCATAATGTAATATGCCTTAATGATTTTAGTAATTTTCTGAATACTAAGTGGGAAGTAGCGTCCTAGTGGTTAGGGCATTGTGCTTGGAATCCAGAGGTTCTTAGTTCTAGCCCCACTCCCACAGACTGCCACTCTGGGTCCCTGAGCAAAGACCCTAACCCAGCACTGCTCCCAGGGCGCCAAACGATGGCAGCCCACTGCTCCCCTTGGGGATGGGTTCAATGCAGAGAGTTATTTTCGTTGCTCTGTACTTGTGACAGTGTAATCACAATAAAACATGTTTCCCTGCATCTGTGAGCTATTATAAGACAACCATGATGAATGATAACTTGTCCCAGTGAACTCTAAGACTTAGTGCTTACCTGAAGACGGTGTCATGGGAGTAGCCACCAGACCATTGACATTAAAAGCTGCCATTTGCTGCATTTGTGCAGCAGCAATGGCGGCCATAGGGTTCAGGTAGGACCCTTGTGTTGCTGCCATCAGGGCTGCTTGCTGTTGCATCATCTGCTGTAGGATTAAAGAGCAGTGGGGGGAGAGGAGAATGGTGAGAGGGATAAAGGGGAGGAAAGAAAAGGAAAGATGAGTCATACAGCTGCAAAACAGAGCATGTTTTCTCTCACATGTGTTTTTTAGGTCCATGCCTTGTTCTTGAACTGAATGACTTGGGTTGTCCTGCAGCTTTGCTTGCAGGCTACTATAAGGCTTTGCTGGCCTTGTGCTCATTACATGGAAGGAAGATAAAAGCAATAAGAATGCTGAATTCGATGTATACCTGTATGTCTGTATATGGGATAAAAAAAAAAGCAGTAATGGCGGGGTTCAGTCACAGAGTGCGAGTGGGCGATTCTCACCTGTCAGGATGAGTTGTTAGCTACTGTGTGAGTGCAAAATCTCACAGACTCCTAACTCAGACTGTGACTTTCATGTGTGAATATGAAATAGGGGTGGGCCTGGCTGACAGGAAAGGGCGTAAGGGGTGAACAGGTCTCTTCTTTGTAATAAAATGCACCTCTTCTTGAGCAGAAAAGTATATCTAAAAGAGGCAGGCTAGAGTTAGCAGTTTAAATTCTTATACAGGTCAGGATACACTGGAATGAAAGATGAATATAAAGTGAACACTATATGCAGGGTAGATGTGCAAATATGACATGCATATTTCAGTTTAGAGATAACATCACAAACTCATTAAGGAAAAAACAATACAAGTAGATACATCGATCAGAACTATTAAGAAAAAAATTCTGCTTAAAGAAGCTACAGAACATTTCAAATATAAGTGATTTTTCAATTGTGAATATTTCATAAAATTCTTGTGTGTCACATGCCTAGTTGGAGAGAAAGCAAAATCAAACCTCTGATCACAACATTTTGTTCTTTCTTTTTTTAAAGCTCACCGTCTCCTCTCCCGCTGGGCTGAGACTTACAGCATGAGAGTAGGCGCCATAGGCCCCAAACTGGATGGTCATGGGACTGAAGATGCCGAGCTGGCCCGCCATCTGGTGCATCCTCCGCAGAGTCCTCTCTTTATCAGTATCTGCAAATTTGACCACCAGGCTGGACGAGGCACCCTGCGACGACACATAGTTTACAAGGTTAACAGAATAGGCAACCAATGCTTGTAAGATTGCACTGCCTGAAATTTCAATCATTCATACAAATGGCAACAAAGCTTCCAAAGTATTCATACTAACTGAATGTTTTTCACATTTTATCATGTCAAAGCAACAAATTTCATAGTATCTTATTGAGATTGATACTGAGATTGATGACAGACCAACACAGAGTAGCACACAACTGTGAACTAAAAGCAAAAGCATATGTGTTTTTAAAAGTCTTACAAACCCATTTAAAAAAGTGATATGTGCATTGGTATCAAATCCTGTAGTTTATTATTATACTACCTGCATTACGAAAGGAGGAAGTTAGCAAATCAGGTCAGTTTTTTGAAGGACAAAAAGGTTTTGTTGGAGAATATTAATAAACAAATGATATCTTGAAGAATCATTGAATGAATAAGTGAATGGATGAAAGAAAGAAATGAATAAAAGAAGAATAAAATAATCATTTATACCAGACTGGTCAGGGTATAGTTGCTAAATGTTGAAAGCAGGGTTGGAAATCTATTCATTATTTTAAAACAGAAAAGGTATGGAATAAATGCACAGCAATGATGACATCACCTATTTAGTTCAGTTCATTTCAGTTCAGTTTATTTACATATATAGCACCAGTTTACCAGGTATGTCATCTGAAGGTACTTTACACTGTAGAGACAATTCAACCAGATCATACAATCATATAGGTTCAAAGTATTCTATCTAAGGAAAACCTGCTGATTGTATCGACTCATTGTCTTGAAAGCATTCCCTCACACCAGGCATCTATCAGTTGCAACCTAGCCTAACTTGCCAGGCCTTTAAGAGAAAATTGATCGCATAACCTAATCTGTCTAACATTTAAGTTTTTTTTTTTTTCCTACAGTAAATGCAACACTTTTTAGAATCTAAATTGTAAAACAAACACATAATTAAGGAGTATGAATACCTTTGGTCTAATAATGTCAGTTTGACAAAGGTAACTCCTTAATCTCAATAAACAGAAATGTGGCAACATGAAGAAGTCCATAGTAACGCATGCAAAGAGTTTTTTTTTTCTTTGTCTGAAAGATTGTCTGTTAATATACTCAGGGGTGGCTTTAGGAAATTTGGGGCTCTAGGTAAACACAGGCATTGGGCCCTCTGAACTGAGAAGACAACTCATAATCCAGAACCATTATAATGATACAGAAATTTTAATAGAAGAGACAAACATTATTAACAAAATTTTGACCTCCCTCAATTATGTTTTTCAGAAATTATATTACGGTATGTCTAGGGAAAATAACAATTCAATATATCTTTAATCATATTATGGAGAGTGAAAATGCCTTTTGAGATATCTCAAATTACATCACCTGATTTGTCATTTAAAGTGTCATAGATCAGGAATTATAATCAAGATATTTCAGTTAATTTGAACTAGTCAAAACTATATTTTTTCATTATCCGAATTATGAAATAGCCCCCTAGTTCTGTCACTGAGCTGTCCTAACAGTTGCCTGCAGAATTTTTCATGGCTGCAGTGGCACTGGCTCTTCTTGACAAAGTTGCTCCAAAATACCACAATATAGAAAGAACTCTGTGTGGAGAACAATAACTTTGTGATCTCTAAGACTGCTTTAGAAATCTGTCATGAATTGCTGCAGGGAAGTTAGTTAGAAGCTGGATATTCAAGCTCTGCTGAGTTGGCCGCACCTATCTCACCATCGATCCGATTCAGGAGCTCAGACTTTACTGTTACTTCCCGTTCTTACGAGCGGTGAATCTTTTAGGGACCATCAACAAATTCCCGAACTAAGCACTCTTGAGTAATACAAAAAAATAAATCCCTTGTCTCATGACCAACTGAAACAAAGGCTATATCCTGCTACTACATTACATAAATGAGGCATGGGGCCCCGAGACACACATAATATTATAAGTATTGTGATGGCCTTTTTAATTAAAGGATTTTTATCAAAAACATAATCAATATGCACAAATAAGTAAAAGCTGTATTAACAACACATGTAAAGTTTTATGAGGCCCCCAGGAACTTGGGGCCCTAGGCAACTGCCTAGTTTTGTCAAATGGTACAACCGCCCCTTAACATATACTCAACAAAGTTGATCTGAGCGAAGATATGATTTATAGGAAAATGGGGATATTAGATTTTAACTAACCTAAATCTAACTAACATCTCGCATTTTACTTGCTGACAGCTGGAATGGGAATGTACAACCCAATCTCCAGTTTATATTACCGTCCAGTTTTCACATGAAACGCAAATGAATATGCACCTTGCAAGAGTGCACTCACTTAGCTGTCACCTTTCAGTGGAAGAGAACAGTGAGTGCTCTTTGCTTTTGTGAACCTTCCAACTCCACTGTATACACTAGGAGTGAACTGTGATCCTAACCAGATCCCACAGGAGTGCCAGTTCCCCACTGGTAAAGCTTCACTGAATATAGTGCGGGGTAATTAGGTTTGACAAAAGCCTTCGGCATGTAGAGGGCGAAGTATTGACTAATGGCTCTTCCTTATGGCAGATATAGTTCCATATTGATGTCCATGCTCCTGAGTTTGCATCCAATTAAATCATTTGAAAGACACAGTCCAGAATCACTTTCTCGTTTGGACAAAGGATGCAGGGTATGCATGAGTGAAAGACAAATATAGAGGCTGTGAGGCTACCAGGCAAAAAAGCAGACACTGTCAAGAGGACGTAGGTTCTATTTAATTACAGGCAGTGCATGCTTGGAAAGAACATGGAATACCATCAGGACAGAAAGACAGAAACAGCTGAGGTGAGTTGGGGGTTACGGCAATCAGGATACGATTACTAAGTTTTTTTAAAAGCAGACACATTAGGAGGGAAGGTCCCCGTGATCACAACTGAGAGCGATGAAAAATAGCCTTATCCTGACCGGTTCAGTGCAATTTTTGGCTTTGATTTACATTTCCATATTTTTTAATGAGTTGAAAATAAAAATGTCAGAAGACTGTTAGGTACGGAAATGTCGAGCACATCTGTTTCTTGTGCAAGTATACAGGAACTTTCTAAATTCTTATGTTATTAACCAAATAACAATAATATAAATATTTATTTCACAGTTCTCTTATAAGTGAACAATGCAATTTCTTTTACATCGTGATTACAGTTGATATAATAAAAGAAATGTGTTTATAAAGAACACAACTCTTGTTGCTGTTGCTGTTACCCGAAATTGGTCTTTAGCATTGGAAAGGAAATGTTTTGGCTGTAGATAAATATGAAGAAGAGTCTGGAATGATGGAAAGCATCACAGAGGACCCGCGGGACAGCGTATCTCAGATGGGAACCTATCAGAGCCAGCCAGCACCCCACCTCAGGCCAGAGGAGACCCATCTGTTGTTACTCCCTTGGTGTCATTTTAATTAGTTAAATCAATACTTGGATATGGCAGTGTTAACGGCACCAGTTTTCCTGTTTTAATTTCATTTCATTCCACCTCATGACCTTTTTTCTCTATGCTTTCTCAACTTTGTGGTGCAGTTTAGGGGACTGGGCGGTTAGATTTAATGAGGTTGGCAGTGAGCAAACATCTTCTTGCAGCCTTGTTGCACTACCCTGCCCACAGCATGGGTAACTGGCATTTAGATTCCCTAATTTTCTTCCTTCTGTATTTGTGTTTTCTTATATTCTTTTAATACCTCATGAAGAATGCATTATGAGTTTTGTGACAGTGAACGCCTGAGGCTGTCTGTAGTCACTACACCGTGACTCCAGATGAAGCAAGTCTGGCTGGGTCTGCTACCTTCCAGCAGAGAGCTCTGTCTGAAGACACCAACACTGAAATGGACCTGCTCTGAAATGTTTCGGCATAAAGTCTGAACTAATATTAAATTCTTTTCGATTTGTCACCCAGAACAAAAATAAAATTATTGTCCCGACAAGCAGACCTCTCCATCAACAATATCTTAGTCAGGTTTTTCTCTCTTCAAACCAATAGGTATGGTACAGGTATGGTTTACACACACATATACATATATATATATATATATATATATATATATATATATATATATATATATATATATATATACATACATACATATACTATAAACAAATTTCACATGCTACACCTAGCACCTAAAATAAGAGTTGTAAACTGAAGAAAGCACTTACATAGAGCCTATTTGACAACACCAGCATGCAACAAAACCAAGAAAAGAAACATATACTTCCCTAAACAAAAGGAAATCATAATCAGAGAGAAACATATTGTGGATGTACATGTGCTTATTGAGAGATTAGCCATTTATTTAACTTTGCAAGTTTAACAGGACATTTTCAAACTTCAGATTTTAGATCGTAAGAAGCAATTTATGCTCAAAACCTCTCACATTGGAGTGGGCAAAAATGACTGTACACACAAGGACAAATGTTGACACTAAGGACAGTAAAGGCATTCATTTTATCTAAAGGTCACTTAGATTTTCATTCATAAACTTTGTTTTTTTCTTAAATTGAATTTTTCAAATATGAAGTGTTAAAATGCAAACAACTTGCAGTTTGTAAAGGGATTCAACCTTTTTCCCAGCACTAGAAAGGAGTTTCTAAAACAATTAAATAAATAACTATTCAAATGATAAAATTCTCATGATATGAAATGTACCGGATTGGCCCGAATATAAGACGGTTTTTTTTTTTTTTTTTTTTGGGGGGGGGGGGGGGGGGGGTTCAGTAAAACTGTGTGAAAATGTGGGGTCGTCTTTTAATCTGGGACTAACCAATTATATAGGCTTTGGTTGCTAAACAACCACAACAGCAGTGGGGGCTAGTTTTTTATAAAGCCAGTGACATCACTGTGTCTGTGACCATCGTTCTATCACAACAGAGCAGAAGTGACAAGAATGGTACAAATAGGCCTAGATCTCCCATTCACTAAAAAGAGCTGGGATTATATAGTTAACTTTATAGCAAACTCAGTTAATTTACCGTTTGGACA